CGAATTCGGTTGCAAACGTGGGAATAATCGCGATCAAATTTTCTACACCACGCAACGGTTTGTTAATTACTACACTTGCTAATGACCAAAGCTATTCCGTCACAATGCTCGAAACTTTTCCCTTTTTTTCTCAGCTTACTCAAAGAAGGGAATAATTTGAAAGGTAAACGAATCCTCCTAATTCTGCCGTGCTAAGGAAAAACGCCGTATGAACATTCAAGAGTTGCCAAATTTGCTCTCAGAAAATAGTTCTTTTTGAAGAAAGTTATGAATATTTTTCTTCGAAATTTTCAGACACTTTAGATCAAATTACAAACAAAATTATCTGAGAAACTGATACACAAATTTTCAAGAATTTTCCTGAAAATGAGTGATTTACCATAGGAAATTTGGCAACGCCTAAAGGTTCATGCGGCGTTTTTCCTTGGCACGGCAGAATTGTAAATAGCTCGGTGCAGTGGATTTGGTCTGCAAAGAGTTCATCCTCGTTTTTCATGGCAAAGTGTTAATTGTCAAGTAAGTACAATTTTCTTCGTCAGTTAAGTCCCATTAGCTTCGGTCAACCAGACCGGCGTCTAATAGATCTGATGATTTGTATTCCGCGGACGACAAAGGAAAAGGAATAAGAGAGAAATAAGAGGAAAAATTGGACAAAGAGGAATGCTTTGAAAAATAATTACAGCCATAAAAGCGTAGTTATTGATACACAAAAGAATCCATAAAAAACTCAAATAAACGCGGTGAATTCTTACTTGTTTGGAGATTCTAAAACGGAAAAAAGTCAGAAAGTTTTCCAGAGCAATTTCAAACTTGGTTTTCTCTAAAATTGTTGATAAATTGAGAATTTTCAGGTGTCTACAATTTGATGAATTCATATTAGAGTGGAAAAAATTGAGTGGACTGCACACGAGGATACCCTTGGTTCAAAAGTTGAACAATTGAAGGATATATGACAAAAGAATCTATTTTGCTAAAATACATGCGTTAGATGGGAAAAGCCCCCATATATGACGTCACTAGTCGGTGTATTTTCTCACTTTTGAATCAAGTTTTATACTACTTCCCGCATCATAAAAAAAAAAAGAAAAATATGAAAAATACTGCGAAATCAGCTCTTCGAGCACTCTCAGGTGAAAGAATAAAAAATTCTAGTGCAGTTTCTCTATTATACACATAAAAGAATTTGCGCTTTGGAATTTGGGATTTTTTACGTTTTCATCGATAACTTTGCCCCGAGAGCACGATTTAGTGTCAATGCTTTAAAAGTTTCTACGATAACTCCAACGATACTTGATACGCCTGTGGCGAGACTGTCCTTTTAATCTATCCGTGCGTTTGAGTCTCCGTATCAATGAAACTTTCGAGGTATAATTTTACCGATAATTCTCTTTTCCGTCCGATGGAATTCAGTGGCGTGGCATGCTTTGCGATAAATCGATTGATCTGCCATCTAAACCTATGGAAAAGATCGATAAACAAGGGTTTTTTAAGTGCAGTCGTTACAAAACTGCACTCATGCTACGCGGGATACTCCACGGCGAATTGAAGGCGCTTCAAAAGCGACGGTGCATTACAGAGCATCGTCGCCCGTCGCGTCCGAGCGTGGAATTTTTTTTTTTTTTTTTTTTATTTAATAAATCGAATTGATTTTCCGTAAACAATCGATTAAATTTTACAGTTGGATGAAAAAAGTCGATTTCGAAGAAAATCGACATCTTAAAATCCATGTTCGGCGCCAAAAGCACAACTACTACTAAAACTGAACTTAAAATGAAACTTAGGATTCACAGAGCCTAGGCCCTAGGCCTTGAGTGACACATAAGCATATAAAATTACAATTTTTTTTTTTTTTTTTTTTTNTTTTTTTTTTTTTTTTTTTTTTTTTTTTTTTTTTTTTTTTTTTTTTTTTTTTTTTTTTTACGAATATTCGATTTTGACTCCAAAAATCGAATCGAAATAAATCGAAATTTTCCACTTCAATATGTCACATACAAGGCCTAGGCCTTGGTTCTGTGAAACCTGAGTTTCATTTCAACTTCAGTTTTAGTAGTAGTTATGTTTCGGCGCCGAACTTGAGTTTTCATACATTTTTTAAAATCAATTTCGAAAAAAAAAAAATCGATTCTGTATCCGATTTCAAAATCGAAAAGATTTTCTTCCGAAAATTAAATCGATCTATTCGATGAAATCGTCATCCGATTGCCGGCACATCGGGTCGAGGCAATCAGAGAGGTCGGACACGAGATTTTTGACAAAAACTGCAAATTTGGATGTTTAATTCGTCACATTCTCTACTTAGTTGGGTGAGTCATGAAGTAAATTTCACGAGACAACCAATGGAGCCACTTTCAGAATCTCAAAGTTTTGTATAAACGGAGTTATAAGCTTTTACAGTTTCCGAATTGTCCAACCTCTCCTATTGACTTGATCCACCGTGTGCCGGTGGCAGCGTTGCGTTCCTTCTGCTAGGATTCGCCTACTTTCGATCGGTTAGCGCGAAGAGTGGTCGCGGTTCTCCGAAAAACTCATCGGCGACTCCCAGAGGGGGAGGGGCGAGGGGGGGGGGGGGGGGGTCTAATTGCAGAGCGACGTTGGAGATGGAGGCGATGATCACTCATCATCGGTGCGTGTTGTCGGGCGAGGTCCGGCGCCGGGCGCTGGGACTCGCGTAACGGGAGCGGTTTTAATACTCATGATCTGGACGCGTAATTGGTAAATACTCGGCCGAGGAAACTATAATCTTCGCACATGGCACGCATTGCCTCCTCGCTCTTTACGCTTCTCCTCCTCGCTTCCCGCATTCTTGCAGCTCACGCAGCTTCGCGGGCCCCGATGAGCAAAGAGAAAACAAGAGCCGCAACATGAAATACGAATCGGTTGTTGAAATTGATAGACAAAGCGATGGACAAAGATGACATGCGGAGTATGGACCGATCCTACTGGTTGAAATGGGTGGTTCCTGTAGACTGAGGGAGAAAATGATAGACTGACTGTCGGGTCTCTCGCGGGTTGCCGTTAGCTAGTCTATTACCTACCTCTTCTGACCATTGCAAACAACCGCTTCCATCAATAGGATCTCTCCGTATCCCTCTTGTCTAACCCTCAAAAATAAATAGGGAACGCTCAAATGCCAAATTAAACATTTTTCAGTAACAGATGCAGTCAAAATTGAAAGTCCTCTTTAACTAGTTATTTCGTGCGCCTTCAATCTTGTAGGATACTGTGCAACGCCTCTGACGCGAAATAGTTGCTTAAATCGTTGCGACGCGGCAGGCAACCAGCGTGACACGCGCATAGGCGCCTACAAACCTAACGGGATATTTCACGCGTTGCGCAATGCGTGAAGTATCCCTTTAGGTTTGTAGGCACCAGTGCGCGTTCTGCGCTGCTAACACGCCGCTCCGCTCTGTGTTAGGCTGTAATATTTAAACTCACTGAGTCAGCGTTTTTCAACTCATGATTTTGAAATGTTTGCACTCTCTGCATTGATTATTCACTTTTAAACTGATGAAAAAGAAATATGTGCTACTGGAAAATATAATATGTTTTTTGTAAATATATTAGATGACGTCATAAACCGGGTTTTTCATAGCGCGATATCTCGGCTAAAATTGAAAGTGGAAAGTTGCTGTTTGGACAGATCTTATTATTTTTAGCTCATCTTCAAGAATCAATCATCAAAGCACTGTTCAGTGATCAGCGCAACTGACTCATTCATTTAGGTCATGTGTTTTGATTGGTGCTAATCATCAAATAAGCCAATCAGCATTTGATGAGATGTGACCTCGTCCATTTGAGGGTTACATTTGATCACGTGTCACATCTTATCCCGTGGTAAAACAACGAGGCTGCAGGACTGTTTAATGTCGATGCAAACAAGACATTTTTCCCTAAAAAGTAAATTATCATCGTTTTTTCTGAATTTTCTCGACACTTAGGACCAAAGCCCATGAAAAATGACCAAGTTTTTATCATTTTGAGTGTTAAATTCATCCGCGAATGACCGCAGAAAGATAAAATAACGATATTAATTAAAGCTCACATTCAGAGCGCAGCAAACTCTCATTTAAATTACAGAGAAGAGTAATTGCTTCAGGTCCTCATTTGAGTTGATACGATATCCCTAATTGTACCCTCGGTCATTCGAACAGGGTCAAGGCCTGCTGCGGAAGGAAAGCTACAATTACCGACAAGAGCTTATCTATTTGCACTATGTTTCATAAAAATGTGTTCAAGTCGTTAATTGCTAATCAGTAATCTAATACATGTTTATCACTTGCTGTGAGCGAAGCAGTGGCGTCGTACTTCGAACCTTAGGGCTAATTTTTGCATTTGATAGACAAAACGATAGACAAAGACGACATAAGGAGTATGGAGAGATCCTATTGGTTGAACTGGGTGGTTGTTGTAGACTAAGGGAGAAAAAGATAGAATAGCTGTGGGTTCTCTTGTGGGTAGCCGTTAGTTAGTCCATTACCTACCTCATTTGTCTATTGCAACCACCTGCTTCCGCCGATAGGATCCCTTCATATCCCTTTTGTCTTTTTTGTCCGTAGCTTTGTCTATAAATTTCAAGAAGCACCCCGCAGGAGCTCACCCGTTCTTTCTCGTCTGCAGGCTGATTATTGGCATTGATAGACAAAGCGATAGACAAAGAAGACATAGGGAGTATTGAGAGATCGTATTGATTGAAATAGGTGGTCCCTTTAGACTAAGGGAGACAATGATCGACTAACTAGAGTCTCTCGTAGGTTGTCGTTAGCTAGTATCCTACCACCTTTGTCCATTGCAACCACACGCTTCCACCAATAGGATCCCTCCATATCCCTTTTGTCTTCTTTGTCTGTAGCTGTGTCTATCAATTTCAGTAATCAGCCTGCTGTCCCTGGCTCCGTATGGGAGAAATACGTCCATATATCTCTTGATGTGAGCAAAACAGTATAGTATGGCACGCAGAACGTGAGCAAAAGAAATGATGGGAGAGAGACGCGAGTACTTACCATCAAAAACGGAGCGGACGGACTGGTAGAAGTCCTGGGAGGCGGCAGAGGCGGAGGCGGAGGCCTGGGGGTAGTTGAGGAGCTCGGTGGCGGTGCCGGACTCGGGGAGGGCGGCGTCGTAGGAGGCTAGGTTCCGGCTGGAGGCCTGCGACTCCTCGAGGGGCGTCGGGGGGCCGCCGAGGGGGTCGCCGTGCCCGAGCCCCAGGCCGAGGCCGAGGGTGTCGAACGGGGCCAGGTGGGCCGCCAGGTAGAAGAGCACGGCCACGTTGAGCACGACGCTGAGCCGGAGACACCAGCCGCGCCGGGATATCGACCACATCTCCGCCGCCCGCGCGGGTGGATTCTTCGGTGATGACGCAGCGAGCACCCCAGCCGAGTCATAGCATTCTACCCTTCCACCTGCCAACAGAAAACCACAAAAATTCAAATACTCAGTCTAAGAAACAACTCAGCATACAAATCAGCATTTCATGTAAGCTTTTCTTTCGAAGGGGGTCGATCGGGCCCTCCAAAGATGATATTCCTAATCCTTCTCATCCCATTACTGAAGGAAATATCGACAGCGTAAAAGCGCAATCACATATCTCGTTTGCGGTGACTGAAAATCGCCGCCTCTATGTTATTTTTTCAAAGGAGAACAAATTGGCATCATTCCTTGAAGTTTTTGCAGAATTTTCTAAGCACAGAGAAGAAAAATCACGGTAGTTTTAAAGAATTGCCGTTGAGTAGTTTTCCGTTTAAAAAATAAATTATGACAGGAAGTCGGCGACGTCGCAAATCGAGTTGTGTGATTGCCGACTTACACCGTTGAAATGGTCCATTCAAAAAGTACCTATGCAAAAAACCTCAAAATCGCAAGTTGAAAAACGCTGCGCGAGTCTGATCGATCGCGCTAAACACTACGGTCGGCGGGAACCGCATGTTAGCGCCTGCAAGACTGCACGAATACTTCTCGCATTGCGCGGAGCGCGCTGTTGGTACCTGCAAGACTGCACGGATACTTTACGCATTGCGGGTTCGCCAATGTGCGCGCCTCAATTGCAATCGTCGCGTTTTCTTGTTCTACATAGTGCGACAGACGAACCAGCTCTATCGATCCAACTCTGTACATTCCGGATTCGACGGTTTTCTGCTAAAATCTGGCAGCTACGGATGCGATGCGTGAGCCGCCGCGAAATTCAAGAGCGTCGCGACGCCGGCGACGCGGCGATGGCCCAGTGACGACGGCCGCGGACGCTGGGAGTGGGGACGCCGGCGTCGGGGGGAGGGAGAGGGGGGGGAGGAGTGACTTGACGATGGGAACAATGACAGTGAACTTGTGAGTTGGGAGCCAAGGAGGAATCGGAGTCGTAGCCGGGTTAATAGGCGTGCATAATGGGAGTCGCAGCCTTTTTTCTTTCGCTCTATTCGTAATCTGGGTCGCCCCCTCCCCCCTCCCCCTCCTCCCGGGGGACACGGTAGCCGGGAGCCGGGGGATTATGCCAAATTGAGCAATGCAGCTCGATGCTATTCTGACCGTGTTGTCGGCTCCATCGTGTGCAAATATCCAAGCAATTTGGACTGGACTAAACGGAAAGAAACAAGGTGGTAGAATACGTAGGGATAAAGGGATTTTTGAAAAGAGAACAAATTCACTTGCAGTGCATATTCATTTCATAATGATACACCAAAGGTTATGAAAAATCTGAAAATAACTGAGCTGATATAAGACGTAGTAATTTTTGCTCTCTCGGCATTGCCATATTTCAAGCGAATAGGGATTGGACCACACTGTTCTGACGGGAAATCAGGGCCGAAATCAGTTGAGGGGCTTGGTAGACAAATGGTATAAGTGAAGATTTGGAAAAATTTGAGATATTAATGATTTCAAATAAAACTAGCCTTGATGCATATTCTGTGAAAAATTTTCTCCCAAATTCCAAGTTTTAAGCATGAAAATATCAGTTTCAACTTTTTTTCCGCCATAGGGATCCATTTGATTTCGATAATTCAAACACGTATTTCTCAAAATAGGAAAAACTGCACTTATGCGCCTGGTCCTCCAAGACCATCATCTGAGCTGTAAAATCTAAGCTATCATCATTAATTTGACCCAGTCCTGAGTAACTTACGTTCTCACCAGTCGTTTCCCTCACAAAAGAACGTAACTTCATTTCAATGTGCCGAATTTCCCCTCGCAAATTACATTCTTCAAGGAGAACCTTAGGCATTTCTTCTTTAAAGTTTCATCAATTTTTTTCTAATATCATGCAAAAATATGAAAAAATTGAGCAAAAATTGCCCAGATACTATTCTGTAAAGAATTGATTTGTTCGGGTCGATTTTGCAACCTTGGAATAGAGTTACGTTCCTTCGTCCAGGAAACTACGAACTGCACCCACTCATTTTTTCGTGTAAGTGGCATGCACAAAACCAAAATCAATCGGACTGGAGACTCCCGTAACTTGTGTTGAAATTGATTTTAAGTTTCGCCCCGAAGTAATCTGCGAGTTAGCGCTAGCGAACGTCCGAGCAGTGATTGCTGATTCATATCGGGCACCGTCCGCTTCCCGGTGCCACCTGGAATTCGAGCGGTCTCGCTTTTTTACGGCTCGAACGGTTGCGTCCACAATACTGACCCACCGTCTATCCAACAGCAACAGCTTCCCTTTCTACCCCTGGGCAGTTTTAAACGACGCCATAACTGACTCCAATCTTTCGAGAAAAAATCGAGCTTGGACGACTGCAGACAATGAGGCATGAGGCTACTCCACTGGCGGATACAGCAAAAGGGCAACATTTTCTTTTCTCCATGTAAAGCTATGGAAATGTATCGATTCATAGAGGAGCCAGGTGCTCCGAAAAGAATCGACTATTTGGAATGCATTTAGCAAAAGGGAACCAGAAGCACTTCAATGGTGCTAAGATTGTGCAACTTCATCCTTTGCAATGAAATTACTGAAAACATGAAAAAACATGAAATTTACAAAATAGGAACTATTAATGGATAATCAGGTTTTTCTTCCAAGACAAAAGAAGACGCACAATTTTAGCAACATTGCAATGCTCCTGGTTCCTTTTGGCAAAATGCAATCCATTTAGCATAGGTTTAGAGGTAGGAAATCCGGTGTTGCCAAATTGCTGGATCCGCCTCTGGGCTACTCAGTACTTATCATTCGGATGAAAATGAACTCGGATTTGAAACCTGATCAAGGGGGTTCGCGTGGAAAAGGAAAAATATTACACGGTGTTTTCTAAAATTTAATTTTGGATTTTCCTGATATTTTAACATAGCTGGAGAACCTGCCTGGCTAAGAACCTCTTGGTCCATGCCTCAGTCACGCAAAATTGTGTAAGAAAAATTTAGTTTCTTTCCATCTAAAAAGATTCAGAATTAAATGTATGAAATTGAAATAGTCTTAATATTCTCCAGCATTGCGTGCGAAACTGCGTAGAATCGGAATTACGATTCGACGAAATCGCGGATGAGGCCGAATTTCGCCGCGACGAATCGCGACACCATCCACCTGGGGGCAAGGTCATGGTCCCCCAACACGCGCCCACAGCTTCGACAGTCTATCTTCTTTCCGCCTCACGATCCGGGCACTTTGATTTATGAGCTGCATTAATGAACAAAAAATAGTATTCCACCATATCACAAGTCATGCTCTCTCTTTTTCGTATTTTTGTAAATATAATGAGAAAACGCGTTATGTAAACAGTGCTGGGAAGGGTATTACTATTAAAAAAGATCATAATTGGTAAGAATAGTAGTTTATAAGCTGTTCGACGGGAGAAAGGCCCACGGTAAGGTCGCTACTAATCCACCGGTTTCATTTAAAAGAAATACAATCTCTTTTTGAACATGTGGGAAGAGAAAAAAAGTTGCTCGTTGTGCTATTTATATTACTTCAATAAAGAATGAAAATTCCCTGCTATTTCTCTCTGGCACGTGGTCACTTACGAGTGCATAATTTTCCACAGAGCAATTTTTGCCGAAATGCATAAATAAATCGACCTTGGATACTTTCACGGAACAAGTTTTTTAATTTCTTAAAAAGTTAATTGCAAAGAGGTTGGTCCGTTTTGTGTCAGCGGGCAAGTTTTGCTACCAGGAACCGGATATTGAGTGTTGCAGGGGTGCAGAAATTCTCCGACCATGCGACCGTCCCAGCAGTGTGCCGGTTGCTTGAAATGGGGGACCCTACAAAAACGGGGGAAAATGTGGGAACCCTGTACGGGATACGGCGGCGTTTTAGCAATGAAAAAATCGGATTTTTTTCGGTAAGAGAGCTAGGTCTTTTTCATGTCTTTAGAGGAAAGCGATCATGAATTGGGTTGTAAATAAGGGAAGAGAGATTGAAAATGGGAGAAGGCTTGGACTTCTTGCACCCCTGGAACGTCGTGGACTTAGATTGCTTCTCGAGGATGATAACTTATTTATAGTACCTTCCTCACTCGGAGGTAAAGAAAAATCATGATAAAAGTAATGAAATAGTACCTTCGCCTTGTTTCCTTCGGTTAACTTCCAAATGGACCGCTTTTAGCAGAAACGAACCATAAGCCACATCAACTACTGCCTAATTAAAATGAGCGATTTAATGTTTTATGATAGAGCGTTGTACAGATTTTTTTGAAAATTTTAAGGAATTTGCTTCGCACTATGCAGAAAATTAACTGAACTTTGTACACAAAAATCTGCACAACTAAACCATTTTCAAGTAAAAAATTAAATTGCCCGATTTTTGGCAATAGCTGACGTGGCTCGCTTCCTTTCTGCTTAACGCAGTCCAAACGAGAACGATGCATTTTTCTATATCAGTGCAGAAAAAATACAGAGAAACTAAAAAAAAACTGAAATCATAATATTACTAAATCTCAGTAAAGTTGTTTTTCCCACAATTTTCCACTAATTTTTCTGATATGTACGGAATCCGCTCCAATAGTGAACAGTCGAACTGGTTCGTTCGGAAAAAACTATGTACAACAAGAATTTGCCGTCGAATTTCTGAGATTAAATATGATTACTTGATTAACATCAAAATCGCACGACTTAGGTAATGAACGAAATTACGAAAAAATCTTTTCTACTATTCGAGAACCGAGTATACGTGCACAGAAGAGAAGAAACATCCATCATCTAAGCTCAGCAATAGCATAAAATATGCTGAAAAATGGTCTATGATGGATATTGAGCGACCGGTTCACCTTCAATTTTATCGTTATCATTGAAAATGCGTTTAACTTTGATTGTGACAAATAGTAACACGCGTACACGTACATGCGATCAATTTTGCTTGCTCGCAATTAGCGCTAATGTTCTTAGGTGACTCAACAAAACATACTTATCCAGGTACCTTTTCTATTCTACCTATTAATTTTTTTTTGTAAGTAACAAATTAAAAGCTTCCTGATGTCTC